AATTCCCAAATTTTTGGGGGGGAAATCCTCCCAAAATTCCCAAATTTTTTCTGAAAATTCTCCCAAAATTCCCGAATTTTTTTAAAAATTCTCCCAAAATTCCCGAATTTTTTTTTTTTATAAAATTCTCCCAAAATCCCCCATTTTTTTTTTTCAGGATCTCATCCCAATTTTCCCAAATTTTTTTTTAATTTTTTTTGGGAATTTTTTTGTCCCCACCTGCTCCTCTCCTCCCGGCTCCTCCTCTCCCGGCTCCGGCTCCGCCTCCGCTCCCGACTCCGGCTCCGGTGGCGGCTCCGGCGATCGCGGCTGCGGCTGCGGCGGCGACGGTCACGGCTGGAAATTAAATTAAATTAATTAAATTAAATTAAATTAATATTGGGAAATGATAGAGGGGAACTTAGGGAATATCCCAAAAAAATCCCGAAAAAAATCCCCCAAAAAATCCCGAAAAAATTCGGGAAAAAATAAAGAAAAGTCGAATTCAAGATGGCGGCTGCGGCGGCGACGGTCATGGCTGGAAATAAAATATAAAATTAAATTAAATTAAATTAAATTAAATTAGAGTTGGGAAATGATAGAGGGGAACTTAGGGAATATCCCAAAAAAATCCCGAAAAAAAACCCCCAAAAAATCCCCCAAAAATTGGGAAAAAAATAAAGAAAAGTCGAATTCAAGATGGCGGCTGCGATCACGGCTGAAAAATTAATTAAATTAAATCGAATTAAATTAATTAAATATTGGGAAATGATAGAAGGGAACTCAGAGAGGATCCCAAAAAAATCCTGAAAAAAATCCCCCAAAAAATTCGGAAAAAATTTGAAAAAAAATTAAAGAAAGTTGAATTCAAGATGGCGGCTGCGGTGACGGCTAAAAATTAAATAAAATAAAATTAAATTAAATTAAATTAAATTAAAGCTGGGAAATGATAGAGGGGAACTCAGAGAGGATCCCAAAAAAATCCCGAAAAAAATCCCCAAAAAAATTCCTCAAAAAATAAAAAAAAAAAATCCTAAAAAATATAAAAAAAATCCCCCCAAAAATCCCCAAAAAATTAGAAAAATATCCCCAAAAAATCCCAAAAAAGTTGGAAAAATATCCCCAAAAATTCCACAAAAAATCCCCCCCCCAAAAAATAATAAAAAAAAATTCCCCAAAATCCTGAAAAAATGTCCAAAAAAATCCCCCAAAATTCCAAAAAAAATCCCCCAAAAAATTCCTCAAAAAATCCCCCAAAAAACCCAAAAAAATAAAAAAAAAAACCCAAAAATCCGAAAAAAATCCCCCAAAATCAGAAAAATATCCCCAAAAAATCCCCCAAAAATCCCGAAAAAAAACCCCAAAAATTAAAAAAAAAAAACCCCAAAAATCCCAATAAAATTCCAAAAAAACCCTGAAAAAATTCCCAAAAAATCCCCCAAAAAGCCTTAAAAAAATCCCCAAAAAATCCCCAAAATATTCCCAAAAAATCCCCAAAAAATCCTGAAAAAATTCCCAAAAAATCCCCAAAAAATCCTGAAAAAAATCCCCAAAAATCCCCAAAAAATCCCCAAAAATCCCCCCAAAATTAAAAAAAAAATCC